CACACACACACACACACAATAGCAGCCCCTCTCGCTCAGATTTTGCGCTCGCTGGCAATGTGTTGCTCGCGCTCTCAACATTTCTGCCCGTGCGCGCTCAACTCTTTCTGTACACCGTTCTATTTGTGCCACAAAACCAGCCAATCACAGAATTGGATGCAAAAAAATCTGATTGGCTGTTTTGGTCTCCAATCAGCCCTGTTCTCCTCAAAATGTAACACTTGCACCTGCAAACTTTGGACGTGCGCTCAGAATAGTGGCACAAAAATAACGCCATATAATATGTCCATTTGCTGCATCTCTGGCTAAAAGTAAAGCTGTAATTATGCCAGTATTTTGTTGTCGTTTGCATCACAGTTTAAATATGATGTTCAAACTCTAACCCTTTGTTTGCACTTCTTTGTTTCATATTTCAGGCTCTCTGTGCTGCAGTTTGTGACAGATATGTTTCCTTGACCTAAAGTTCACATCTTGACGAAGGCTTTCCTGCGAGTTGCTCACCTCACATGACAATGGCTTCCAATATAATTGTGAGTGTCGACACAGTGCGTGTTTACATAACTGTAAATAAGAGTGAGGCCAAAACAAAAGTGGACAGATTCCTTTGGCATCAACTGTGACACAAATAATTCTGTGGAAGTTCTTAGTTCACTAGTATTAAAAAATTTCCCTCTTATCGCAAGCCACAGCCTTGGGTGTAAGTATAACAATGAGCGTGTCAACGTCAAGGCCATTTTCATTTCTATTTTGGTGGAAGACAAGTTTGAAAGGGTTGGTTTAAAGGAAAAATATGCATAATATTTGATCAGTGTGACGTCTGAGTTTTTATCACGTAATTCCAGGTAAATTTCATTTATTTAGCACCATAATCATAAAATAATTAAGCTCACAGTGTTGTAGAGGAAAAACTGAACAAGCAGCCCTTTCAACAAGAAGGGGTGAGAGGGGAGCTATTTTAAAGCCGCAAAAAAGTCTCACAGCACTTCCTGTTTTAGAGATTTGCAAATGTCGTTGAAAACTATTCGTCTTTTTGGGTTTTTAAAAATAATTTTAAAGTGTGTAAAAGGCTGCCAGAAACAGGAAATCTTAAATAGTCACAATATCAAACTGCACTGCAACACACAGAAATTCAAAACAAAATCTATTCTGTGAGATTGGAGATATCTGATATCTAGAAATGACAAAGAACACTGTTGGGACCTTCAAGTAGTCGTATTGAACAGAATCCAATACTTTAACTTTCTTTAACAGTGCGCGACCAAACTTTCAGGGATACGACAATGTAGCAAAAGGGAAACTGAGGTGAAAGGGTTGCTGTAAAATATATAAAGGGTTTACAGTACGGGCCCATTAAATGCTCATCAGTATTTATTAGAGTCACAGTATTTGGGAAAGGGCTACAAATTTAGCAGTACTGTCAAAAATAAGGAGAAAGCTGTCGGAGCACAGTGTGAACACAGCTGGGAAGTGCATCCTTAACTGGAGAGTTCTAAAAAATCCAGATGTTCTCAATGATGCTCTCACTTGGGGCACGCCAGACTTCACTGAACCAGTGTACGTCATGCTGCAGTGCAGCCAACTGTTTGGTTTTTTCTTTTGGTTTTTTTCTTTTTTCTTTTTCGGCTTGGTTGTTTTGTTTTTTTTCTCATGAAGCAATGAAGTGAGACTGAACTCTGAATGTTCAAATTGCAGGTGGAGCAGCAGTTTTCTCACAAATTCACAGTGACTGTAGTTCGAGCTCAGAACGTCACCAAGGGAGCGCTGGGCGACCTGCGTAAGTGCTCATATCATTTTTGCCTTACAGTAACATATTACCATGCTTTCCTTCATATTGTTGGAATCTAATCCATGTACATTTACAGCAAAAGAAATACAAAAGCACTTGGTGATGGTTATTTTGAGGTTGGTTTTCGGCTGTGTAGTAACCCTGTGGAACTTGTTTGTGCGCCCAGTGGACACTCCAGACCCGTATGTGGAGATTTTCATCCCGACGGCTCCTGAAAGCAGAAGGAGGACCAAGCACATAGACAACGACATCAATCCAAAATGGAACGAGACCTTTCATTTCATATTAGACCCCAACCAGCACAACGTTCTGGAGGTTAGACCTGCATTTACTGTAACAGAGCGCAGCACAGGATGACAAGAAGTGATGTCATGGAGCGCAATCCCACATAAACACAGCCTAACACTTGTAGCTCGCCATGAGGTGATATGTTAATGTTATCCTAAAATCTAGCCTTTGACTGACTCAAGTGTTAGTTTGGGGTAAGCTACTCAAGCTGCCTACATATTTACATCCATGACTAATGGAAAATCATGTCATGAGGTGACTTTTAAAGTCGACTGCTAAGGTCGGTGACTTTATGCGGTCTGCCACATCAAGGCTGAGTTTCCATAGTTTCTAAATGTTTCTACTTTCTAATAACACCGTTTACAGTTGGCACAATTTGGTCCGACGCTGTTACAGCACTACGCTCGAAGTCGGTGAGGTCCTTCCATGTTTGTGAAGGCAATCGGCATATAACGTCTAAGTCATATGAAGCGCCTTGAGGCGACTTATGTTGTGATTTGGCGCTATATAAATAAAATTGAATTGAATTGAATTGAATTGAATTGAATCATAATCAGTTTAACTAATCGACAAAACTAGCCAGTTGGAAGTCGTGAACACCGGCCACAATTTCTATTTGAGTATAAACTGCTGTTGTTTATGCCCAACAGTTAACATTAATGGATGCCAACTACGTGATGGATGAGACGCTTGGGACAGCATCCTTTGAAATCTCCAAACTCAACGTGGGCCAGACAAAGACGGAGGTGTTCCTCATTGGCAAAGTAAGAAAGTTAATTTGTCCGACTTTCATTATTTATCGTCATTATGTTATAAGCAATCATGTAAGAGGTTCGTCTAAAAAAAAAACAACCCCAATCTGAATTAGGGGCATCTTCTTGTGCGCCTCTAGATCTTTTTCAGCACGGCTGCTATGTCTACATTACTTTATAGAAGTCTTGTTCTGACCACATGGAAGTGGATGAAGTGGCAAGTAGAGCAAAAAACATAGTTTGGCTCAATTTTCTGCTCCTCATGCCTCAGAAGTTTGCGTTAAAAGCTTTCATTGTTACACTAATCTAATTTAATTGTGCGCATAGCTAAAGACAAGTGTCTTCTGTGCACCTCGAAAAAGTTTGATGCAGGACTTCACGTTCACTTACGGGTCAACTTTGAACTCTATGTTCTTCACATGAATATAGACATAGCTAAATATCCATAGAGTAATTTACAAGCAGCGTGAGTGTTGGAAGTGGTCCAGAGATCCACAGAAAGACTGCCTTGAAGAGCATATCAGCCCTTTAACTGAAAAAAAGCTGCTGGAAGAAGATAAGGACCTAATATTTTAATTTGATATTTTGTTAATGTCCTAAAAGAAGTGTCAGTGTATGGCCACAGAGGCAGATTTCGCATTAAACGAGTATGGAGGCTACAAAGTATCAGCAAAGTAACCTTGTAAGGTTTTTTTGTTACAAATCACAATAGAAAAGTACAATATGTATTTCCAAGAGACTTTAAAGGGATCAGTTGTGTTTCTGTGTTTATTTCTTGCCCTCAACCACAATTAAATAATGTATAATAACCACATATTTAATTATTTTGACAGGCAACCAAAGTGCACTTAGAGATGTCACTGGAGATCTGGTATGTAATACCTTCAAAATCAAATAGTTTTATTTTGTTTCACAGCAACATTTACTGTTTAACCTAAACTCAAACTAAGCTCTTCAGAATTATTGCAGGTTTGAAACTGCAGAAACTCCCCTGAAGCATACCATAGGTTAAAACTAGAAAGTAGGTGCAGCACGATTCAGCAAATGTGAGCTGAGTCATTCTAACAATAAGATTAATGAGAATTTTGATCGCACAATTGTGGGAGGATTTCAAAGAAAAAATTGAATGTTTGAGAGGAAATTCAGTGAAAAAAGAGTGTGTAATGACTTCCTTGAGGCCATGACTATTTGTGGTTGTGTTCTCCATCAGATATCCCCCAAATCACATCACCATCAGTTTCAGCATTATCAGTAGTGTTATTAAGAGATCACAGCCTATATCGGCCTCTAAATACAAACTGTGAAACACGTGTTTCCGGTGCTGCTTCCCTGGGACTGCTTTTGTGATCTTCCCTCTTGTTGCTTTTATCTGCAGTACAAACCTGGACCTGCGGTTCAGCCACACCCTTTGTGACAAGGAGAAGCAATTTAGAGAAGCCCGTCGAGAAAAGGTGATGCTCGGCATCAAGAAGCTGCTACGCACTGAGGATCCTTGTCACCCAGAAGAGGTGTGGATCAAAGTCCTTTTAACACACATTTTACATGCAAACTTTGCTAAAAGTAAAACAGTGTCGGTGCTGAACTGTGGAATAACCTGATGTTTAGTCTTGATCATTTGTGTGCAAAAAAACCTTTTGGAATGAAGCGAAGCTGTTATATAGTTACTTTGATCATATTTTTCATTATGGCAGCGAATTGTTTGGAGCTTAATGATGCTTCAGAATCTGCACCCACCACAGTCTCAGTGTCAGTCTGAATGCTCTGGTTTACTTTCAGCACTGTGTACACGCTATACTGAGTCCCAAAAGGTGATTCTGTTCATCTGGACGTTTTCAGTGGGAGAAATGTTTGGTTACTCATCCAGGTGACGTCTTCAGTCTCAGCTGACTGCAGGTTTCCTCAACCTTATAAACAGTACATTTGCATAATGACTGAAACCACCCACTGAAGAAACAATGGGCTGGGAGGTCAATTTCTTGATCATTAATATGGAAATTGTCATCACCATTGATCAACAACCACTGATCAATGGCCTTGAGTACCATTCACAGAGAGTTGAGAAATGGCTGCAATCACAGCACTGTACAATGGTGAAATGTACCCTTAGGCCCCCCTCCTCGATTCAGATATGGTCTTTCCCTTTTCACCTAAATGGCCTCCTTGGTTTCCTCGATGTATAAATCATTCCTGGTACTTAACAGCGTACACTGCATTACTCTGTTTGTGTCAGGGGAACCAATCCTTGGGGTGGACCAATTTTTGGTGCAGTGTGATTTGCGGTTTAAAAGCCACAGAGACACAGTGTTTAGAAATGTGTCTCAACTGTTTCGATACTCCTGTCACATACAGGATCACAAGCGGTTTTTTGCTTCTGAGACACTCGGATGACAAAACGTTTCTCCCACTGAAAACGCTACGTCCAGATGAACAGAATCAACCTTTTGGGATTTACTTACCTGGATGATCGAGCTGCATAAAGACATTGCTATACTGAGTGTCTTATGGGGAGGGGCCAGCTCAAAACATAAATGGAAATTATTAACATTATAATGCCTCTAAGTCCGTTTTACTCTCATTGAAACTCAAAAAGTTCAGAGCCATCCAAGCTTTGACATCTTCGAGGCAGTTCAAAGGGATTTGGATGGAGCCTGGGCCATTTGGTGCTAAAGGCAAATAAATTTGGCAGTCGTCTGCGTAGCAGTGAAAGGATATTTCGTGTTTTCTAAAAATAGACCCCAAAGGGAGCAGGTATAATGGAGAAAGAAGAGGGCCAAGGATTGAGCCCTGGGGCACCCCACAATTTTGATAATCCCATTTGAATTGTAGCTTCAGTTTTCGGTTCTTATCTGACAGAAGTGGCACTCAGTGTGGTCTTCTGCTGTTGTACCCCATCTGCTTCAAGATTTCACGTGTTGTCTATACGCAGATGCTCTTCTGCGCATACTGGTTGTAACGACTGGTTATTGAGTTACTGTTGGCTTCCCATCAACTCAAAGCAATCCGACCAGTCATTTTGGCTCAGAGAACTGCCGTTCAAGGGATCTCTACAGTAGGGCTGTTCGATGTAACGATATATATCGGATGACGATATAAAAATGTCTATGTTTCATTTTATGCTATCGTTTGTTTCGTGGTGTCGCAAAATAAACTGTTTACGGCAATATTTGTTCATGGTTCTGATGATCACTGTAGTTATTATTAATTTCTTAAAGTTCTCTCTTTCTCTTATATTTAATATAACCACACTACAGACGAACAAGCGACTGTTTTTATGCGTTGTCGTTAGCAACAACGACGGTAAAACCATCGCGTGTCCGCTTGTGTATGTTCCACATAAACCTTTCACAATAAAGCTCAAGATCCTGTTGAGACTTTTCAAAATAAATGGAATCACGTGAAAGATGCAGATTATTTACGGATGAGAAGTAAAAAAGAGCCGCCAGGTGCTAAAAAACAGACCTTAGACGTTAGAACAGGCTTTTCCCCGCAGCACGCCGTGTAATAAACACTCACAAAGAAAACGGCGCCGTTACAACTTATGTCTAAAAATGTATCGTTTCATGCATCAGATAAAACACTGGACTCCAGCTACATGACGCGCAGCTGGAAACACTTCATGCAAGTCGAGCAGCCCGAGATTCACAGAACTTACAGAAAATGTTACATTTTTGTGATTTATATCGTTACCGTGACGATATAATTCTTATATCGGGATATGAGGTTTTGGTTATATCGCACAGCCCTACTCTACAGTGTTCTGCTGTAAGATGACATTTTCTCCCTGCAGCCGTCAGACTGTACAATCAAAACTGCTCCCAACAAACATAGATGTTTACATCAGTGCTGTAACAAGTTCTACTGTCATAACTTGCACATTACTTTTCTCAGTTCATATATACACTAACTTATTGGAAGTTACATGTCTACTTTTTAATGCACAGGTACAACGCACAATCTGCACATTTCCAGTTATTCTAAATATTCTTAACTATTTAAACATCTTTCAGTATCCTGCTCTGTTTGCACACTACAACCTGGGTTTGCCACTTATCTGTACTCTAATTTTAATAACTGTACAGTACTCTGCTTTGGTAACTATTGTCCATTATGTAAATATGTAAAAAATGTGTTTCTGTTCTGTGTCCTGTTCTGTTTATATGTGTGTGTTTTTTCTGCTGACACAACCAAATTTCCCCTTGTGGGACAGTTAAAGAATTATTCTATTCTATTCTATTCTATTTCCAATTGTATATTTTTGGCTGATAGGAATGATGGATGTGAAATCTGGACTCATTGTGCAATTGTTACCTCCCTTGAGGTCGGTTTCATTAGTACCAAATAGCACAAAGCGTGGTGAGTGTGCTGACTTTAGGGAGGGTATTCGTGCTTGGTGCTGACTTTCAGATCTGCTGGCTTTCTAAATTCATGACCGTGGTGCAGCTTTTGACACGCTGCATTCTCAAATTTAAAATAACACCTCAACAATTCTCACACCAGGAAGTAAAAGACAAGCCTCATACAGCTCCAGTACTCTGAGCTGCACTAGCTTTCCCAGTGGTGTGGTTTTGGCTCGATGCCTTAGGGCCACGTCTGTTCATGTTTCTAACATGTGACGGAAGCTCCAGAGGAATGAGATATCCAGTTCCATGCCTTCCACCGTGCCACAACAATTCCTCCACAGTGACTTTGTAATTCAGAAATGACCATGCAGACTGGAAAAAGAAGCAATGTTGCACAATTGCAGTTTTGAAAAGCTGCAAATCTACCAGTCAGAAAACGCTGCAAAGCCATGATGCAATCAGCAAGCTGCTGCCCATAGAGACGGCAAAAGGAAATTACTCAAGATGAAAGAATGAAGTTGAGACTCATAGCCGCTGTCATTTATTCTGTAACAAAGGTGTGAGTAAGCATGGCCCTGTCTCCTTCCTTTTATGACTGTTACTGTGTGTGTGTGTGTGTGTGTGTGCATTTTACAGGTGCCAGTGATAGCCATAGCCGGGTCAGGAGGCGGTTTCCGCGCCATGGTGGGGTTTTCGGGCGTTATGAAGGCCCTGTTTGAGTCCGGGGTCCTCGACTGTACCACATATATTGCTGGCCTCTCTGGATCCACCTGGTCTGTTTTTATTTCACCTCCTCTTTGTTTCCTTTGCACCCTGCCTCTGTCTGACCTATTTCTAAAGACACCTTTTCATTTTTACACATTTTTTGCCACTGCTACGTTTCTCTCTCGTTTTATTTCCTAATTCTTCCTCGGTGTTGCTCCTCCCTGCTCTGGCAAACTTTCCACCCTTCCCCTGCTGGTATGAAGTCTTCAAGCAGGCACCTCTGGCTTATTTCTGTCTCCACGACTTAGTGGATTTAACTTCCTTACAAGTAAAGTACCTGCATAAACCTCATAAAGAGGTATATTGTTAAAACATGTATTAACTGACATGGCATCTGTGTTAACTTCCTCCCTCTTTACTCCTGCAGGTACATGTCAACTCTCTACTCCAACCCTGACTTTCCAAATAAGGGCCCGAAGGACATCAACAGTGAGTTGATGAAGAGAGTTAGCAGTAACCCACTTAGGCTGTTGATGCCCCAGCACATCACCCACTATATCCAGGCCCTGTGGACCAAAAAGGCCTCAGGACAGCCGGTTACTTTTGCAGATATCTTTGGTATGCTCATAGGAGAGACACTTATACCCTCGGTAAGAACCTCGTATGTGCTCTTTGTTTTAATGCTGACAACACTCCATATTCCCCTGTCTGATTTTTTTTTACCAGTAAGTTAGTCAGTTCCTTCCCTTTAAATCCATCTGCCACTTCTTCTCTTTTCTTCGAACTGCCATCCGAGTTTATCGTTCTTCTTTTAGTGTCACATAACTGTGCAGTCATATTGAGATAGAAATCTGAATCTTATGACTGACGTGTAAAACTTGGTGTTCAGATGATTAACACTGAGTGTTCTCTCCTACAAGAGAATGGGCATCAAGCTAAGCGACATCCAGGAGAAAATAAGCCAAGCCCAGTGTCCGCTTCCTCTTTTCACATGTCTGCATGTCAAACCGGATGTTTCTGAGCTCATGTTTGCAGGTAAATATGTCTCTTCTTTTTTTTTAAGAGCACCTGCAGGTGTCATATGTTACATTATGTATCCTAAATCCTTCAAAACAATATTTTGCATATCCATATATCATGAGTACATGATACGATGACTGAAGCCACATGCAAAATAAGTGAGCGGTACATTTCCATATAATCCCTGTCTGCTACCATAAAGAACATGTGGCAAGATGTGGTTGGCTGTCATCTAATGAAAGCCCTGTGGTCAGTGACGTGGGAGTTTGTACAGTACAAAATGTTGTACAGTACTTCCTAAATTCTAATATAGCTCCCACGCAATCTTGGACTCATCTCTGAATATACACTCTCTACTAGTATTACAGAAAACTTCCTGAAACACTGAAATTCTTCTAAATAAAACTGTGAAAATAAATATTCTGATCATGTTTCGCTTTCAAGTTTAGACTTTTCTGATGCTTAGCAAGAACAAACTCTTCCTATCCGCGTTCACCGAATTCCATCACGCCGTCAAACTGTTTATCGAGGAAATGTTTGTGCTTCTCTTCACAAATCTAAATTGTCGTGGGCGGCTGAGTTTTGGATTACAAACTGCCTTTCAGCTATTTTAACAATAAATACATTCAGTCCACACAGGCAGGAAACAATGACATACACAGACAGCCTTCTTCACGGCATCTCAGTGTGAGTGTGTAGGAAACCAACTACATCCACGTCGTTTGTTACAGCAGGTTTTTAAAAAAAATGAATATATTGTTCAGTGGCACTTTGATACGCATAAGGGCAAGGCCAAACCTGCTGCCAGTCTAGATTTACGTGTTTTCCATCATCAGTCGTTTATCAGATCTTTAAAAGTAAGATTGAAAGTAAGATAAAACTTGTTTTTCTCTTTTATCTGCTCATCTAAAATCTCCAATGACAATTTCAGTAGAAAATTCCTGGCTGCCAACTGAAGCGAGATGTGAAATAAGCTGCGATTGTTGAGGTTTCCGAGGTCTGAGTAGTGTCACTGTGAGAGTATGCGTCCATTTGTATGTCTGTGTTCCTTTCAGCGGCTATTTATGGGCGAATACGTGTCTGTAAAAGCAGTTACCAATATGTCATAACGACATGTTACATCAGGTTGGTGTATAAACACGCCACGAAGAGTCTCTCCTCTCCCGAGTCTGTTTCAAAGCGGGGTTTGTGGGCCCCGGGGCACAAAATTAGTTTTGGTTTTGGCTCCAAAAAGCAATAGGAAAACAACACCCATCCAGTAAATGCAGATAGAAGCATCCTGTTGATGAGCGAGTTCAGAGCAGAATGCCCAGACAGGTTCAAGCTCAGAGAAAGATTATTGTAATACCGAGAATCACTCCACAGACATTCTCAAGAAACTCTTGGAGTATTCATCCGTGCACATCCCTTTACGGCCAGAACGTACCCATGTTCAGGCATCTTTGAGTAGAAAAGGAGAACGGTGGCATCATTTCTGTAAAACCTTGGAAATCATCTCTTGCAGTCTCACCAACATGGACCAGATTCTGACAGGAATGTTCCAATATAATGTGAAGTCAGTGATATAATAAACTGAGAGTGTTTTGACAGGAAAGGGAAGTTGTGCCTACTGTTGATGACCAGTAGCTTAAAATGAGAACTGTGTGTTAATCTTTGACGACGTCTTTTTGTGAGAGAGATGGTGTGTGGGCGAGCGTGCGACTTTGACATGTGCAGACGTGCAAAGCGAACATGTTTTTTTCCTGTTGACGTTGGGAAGTGTTATCCCTGAGCGGTGACTTAAAGATGGCCATCTCTTAAAGGGCAGCAAACTGTGTAAACTGTGTCAAATTCCCATCGGATGTGTTGGCAGCGTGACGCAGGGACAGTATTAATTGTTTGGCAGCTGGTTTTGTTAATTGTAAGCAAGGCATTGTCAAGTATATGTAAGGTTTATTTCCATGCATGACATTTTTATCCAACAATGTAGCCTGTGTCAGAGTGCACAATGCAATTATGCAATGCAGTATTACTATTGTGTGTTCCTTATTGTGACCATAACACTGGGATTTCAACCTGCAGACTGGGTGGAGTTTAGCCCGTATGAAATTGGGATGGCAAAGTATGGCACCTTCATGACCCCTGACCTATTTGGAAGCAAGTTCTTCATGGGAACTGTTGTGAAGAAGTACGAGGAAAACCCTCTTCATTTTCTGATGGGTGAGAAACATGTTTTCATCTGCAGTCATACAAAAAAGAAAGGTTTTCCACAGGACTTACAAGCTTCCCTTATTGCTTCCCGAGGAAATAAAAGGGTCAACGAATGTGGGCACATCTATAAAAGCAGACATTTCAGAGGTTTTCTGATCTGAAGCGTTCAGGAGCAACAGGTACAAGTAGATACAATAGATACAAGATTCAAACCTGACATGTTTTTTATGTTTTTTTTAGGTGTATGGGGAAGTGCCTTCTCAATTCTGTTCAACAGAGTGCTAGGGGTCAAGGACAGAGCTGGTGGCAGCACCATGGAGGAGGAGTTAGGTAATATTTTTCATTCTGTTTGTTTGGACTGAACAATACAAGTGCTAAATAACCCAGAAAGTGACCCGATAATTTTGCCGCAAGGCAGATTCATCTGCCGATCCCAGGGCGTCAAATAAATGGGTTTAGTCAGCAGACAGAATTTTAATTGTAGATGTGCACATTCCAAGCACTTATTTTAAATCAAGTATTATAAAAGAAGTAAAAATTGGAGTACTTGAGAAACGATAAGAATCGAAATGTTATTTCTTATTTTAAAAGCATAAGCTTCCATGTAGAAATGAAATACAGATCGTCCACACAGTATATGTGACAGTACCGTATTTTTCGGACCAGAAGGCGCATTAATCAAAACAAAACAGTCAGATAAGTCAAACTTTACTCAGCTCATTCTTCTTGCTTCCTCCACTTCCGTACCATTGATTCATTAATGTTGAATTCTCTGCAGCTGCTCTATTCTCATGTTGTTGCACTATATTAATGACTAACCTCGTATTGTGGATGGATTATCTCAGTTGTTCTCCTGACTGATGTTTGGTCCGTTTACAGCATCCTGCCATGCGATTGCATTTGTCCCTAACCATCAGGAACCCTCATGTTAACTTTTATCGAGTGGAAAAAAGTTAGCGTTCAACCTCCAGCTTCACTGTGTTTATGCTATGCTAACATAGCTGTGTCACTAGCGATCACGTAGCACATCATTATATAGCAGCTAGCCAAACTTCAGTAACCCTACAAACGTCACTGCTGTTTAGTTTTCTGTTTTCATTAATGTTGGAAGTGATAGCAGAGCTGTACGCTTGAATTTTCTCAGAAACCTCTCAGTCAGAACATGCAATATCATGTTTAGGTGGAAGCTAGCGAGCTAACTTCCTGCTAACTTCTAACTCTGTTAAATGTAATAAATTCTGTTTTCATGGATGCCTGGATGTTAAACTTAATTATTACACCTGGTAAAGCAGCAACGCTGATCATTTTATTAAAGATGAAAGAATTTAGACAGTTTTTAACTCTCAGTGATGCCGCAGTGTTCGATTGACTTTGGGACCTGAAGCAGAGTTTAGGACCCAGATTCCTCCGCGAGGCTCCTGACTACGGCAGCCGTAATGCTCCGACAATCCGTCAAGTGGTGCAGCTTCGTAGCGGATTATAAGCACTGTCGATTTTTGAGAAAATTAAAGGATTTTAAGTGAGCCTAAAAGTGAGGAAAACACGCTACTTATTTTATACAGATTTACTGAACGTAATCTGAAATTGGTGCTTTTAGTCATGGTTAGCTGGCTACTTTGCATTAGTTTATGTTTTCATTTTTTAGATAATCTCTTTGTTTTGGTATGAGCATCTGCTGCTGAAATAACTTCCACAGCGCAGTCTCCCACTGACACAGGCGTTCAGTCATGTCTGAGAGCCTATTGTCACAGTCATGTGTCACACTTGAATTTGTTTTGTTTAGAATTATTTTCTCACACCTAGCAGGTATTCCCAACCTCATTTTTTTCTCACTATTTATCATGGGATTCTTTGAGTGTTTATGTAATGTTAACGCAACAGCGGAAAGGCATCAGGTTCTTTTGCCTGGTGAGATGACTCGATTTTCTTGAATGCACATGTTAGGGTGACCTTTTACATTGAGACGCACTCTCACAATGTGTTGGTTGTGCAAAAGCGCCTCCACCTTACTAAAGAATGCATTAGTAACAGGTGCTCGCTTGTGTCAGGTCTTTCTTTGTTTGACTTAAGTTCTGTAAAGTTGCATGATTAAACAAAAGTTTAGATGCAGTTTTGCCGTGTATATGAATCAAATTAACAAATGTTGCCTCGTGTCCTACAGAGCAGATCAAACCACAGCACATCGTTGGAGAAGACACCCTGGACGACGACGAGCCACGCAAAGGTGAACTCGGCGTTCCTTTTGATGGAGAAAAAATTAGGTTCAGCACACTGGTTGACACATTGAAATGTTTGAGCAAAAGTTGAACCCCTTGAGACGTTGTGAAAGTTTGTGGTAATCGTGCAAATTTCGTCGGTGTTTCGCAACTGCATGGGAGCAGCTGCCGAGGTCAGATCGCGATAAAGTGCTGATCGGCGTGCTTTCACTTCTGCCGCTATCCAACTGCCAGAGTTTGCATTGTTTGTATTTATTTTGTTTTTATTCAGGGTCTGACTTTGATGATTGAAGCCAAACATTTATGTAAATATTCACGTAATTGCCTTTTCTTCCTTCTTGAAGAAGTGTTTGCACTACGCCCTGAGTGAATTTTTAGAAACAGCTATATATAGACAAAGAGGAAGAGGCGGAGAGAGAATGGGTGGGTGGATTATAAGGGTACAAACAAAACCAACAACAGTGTTTGTTTCAAGTGACACTGAAGATGAAATAAAACTAGATAAGAAAGATGTTGTGATAGTTTTTTTTTAAATTGCCTACAAGCATCTTAAGTGTCCATATTCCTTTACATATTTCAGCTTATTGAATATTTGCTGCTCTGACACATTGACGTATTTTTCTACTGGGTTTCATTTTCTTTTGACTGGTGGAAAGAATGCTTGTCATGCTGTCAGTCTTGGGTTTAACAATACAAAAGTGCAAAACAAAAGAAAAACAGGTCTGAAATCTTTCCCGCTGCCCCTCTCTGAGCACGTCAGAACCAAGCTCAGGGAGGAGCTTCTGTAAAATGGAGTTCTTCCTTCCCACTGTCGCCAAGCGGACAGTGCTGATTGTTGGTGTTCTCTCTAAAATTGTAGTGTCTTTACATTACAGTGAAAAGCACCTTGATTGGCACTGCATCAATAAATTTCAATTGATGTCGTGCGTACAAGAACATTTAAAACAATTCCAGATTTGGAATGAATCAATACCCATAAAAAAAATTTTTTTGTACTTTTTGTGCAACATGTTAACACAGTTTTAGCACATTTATGCAACAATGCAAAATCATGTATTTTGTTGAAATGTATCTGTTTTTAATTACCTTTGTGGACATGATGCATTAGATTAACCACCTTTGCATATTCCACCTGGGGTTACTTTGGTTTTTAGGTGGGACAGAAAACCAGGAGGCAGATGAGGAGTTTCATCGCACCGCTCAGGCCAGCTGGGTTCAGCGTATGTTCACGTCAGTCTTGGGCGACTCTGCTTTGTTCAACACAAGGGAGGGTCGTGCTGGAAAGGTACACGAATATATTCAATACATTATGCATACACGTATGCGTGAGTCGAGTCTTCCTGCGTTAGTATTTACAACAGCCTTGCATCGCTCGCTGTCCTAATCCCTCCTTGTCATCATTTTCCAGGTGCATAACTTCATGTTGGGCCTGAACCTGAACACCAACATGCCATTCTCTCCATTACTTGAGATAACACACGCTATGACACCTGAAGAGGAGGTGGATGCTGTCACAGGCAAGAATAATACATTGATCACAGTTTAATAAATGTGTATGTTAATGCAGTGAGGGCTGTAATCAAACATAACCTTAGTATACTTTCTCTGCTGACTCAACTTCACCCAATCTCCATCACAACTTTTGGAAAACTATTTTGGAAAACTGCACAAATATCTTTGGTTGCTGAAAATATCACACATCTCTGTCTATAGAAATAAATTTAATGAAAGCTTCACAGTTCACAGCTGAGGGAAGTCGTGGCTTAAATGGTCACTTTAAGTTGTTTAATTCAAATAATATTTGTATTTGTAAATGTATGAAAGCAAATATGCGGTCCTACTTCCAGTAAAGGACAAGTACCAAACGAAACAATTTGCTCGGTGAGTCAGGAAGAATAAAATTTATCATTGCTCAGATCCCGATGAGTTCGATCGAATCTACGAGCCTCTGGATGTGAAGAGCAAGAAGATCCACATAGTAGACAGCGGCCTGACCTACAACCTTCCCTACCCCCTCATCCTGCGCTCGCAGCGCGGCGTCGACCTCATCATCTCCTTTGACTTTTCAGCTCGACCAAGTGACTCAAGCCCTCCGTTCAAGGTAAAACGGGACTTTTTGTGGCCATAAATGATTCATGTAAACAGCAAGTCTAACAGGATTTGCATCTCACAGGAGCTTCTCCTCGCTGAGAAATGGGCTAGAATGAACAAGCTGCCATTCCCCAAGATCGACCCCAAAGTCTTTGACCGTGAAGGTCTGAAGGAATGCTACGTCTTCAAACCAAAGAGCGGTGAAAAGAACTGCCCGACGGTCATCCACTTTGTCCTCGTCAACATCAACTTCAGGAAATTCAAAGCGCCTGGTAAGTATGACTGTATGTGGAGGGGTAAAATTTCACTGTTGTGGCACATGAGGCATCTCTTCGTCAAAGCTGGACTGGGGGAAATTGACCATATTCAGTCAGCAGCCAGATGTTAGGCACCTCCTCTGAGTGACCCCAATAGAAACCATCTTCCCATCCTCCCTTTGAGTATGTGTGTGCTTACAGTAAACTACGAATTCCGTCTTTTTTATGACCCAAGTGAAATATGGTTCCTGGGGGAGTCAGGTGCTAGAAGGAAATCTCTCGCCTCAGTAGGCGGACCATATGTATAAACAGGTCATATATCAGAAGCCATGCAAACAAACACTATCACCTCATCTCCACTGCACGTCCTTTACATTAAATAGGTCATCCATTCAGATAAACAGAGTCTGTTTATGGTTTTGCACTCAAACGGAGAAGAATCGCAGTATACCATAACTATTACATCCGGTATCAGTTCAGCAATGAACAGTATTACATACATGGTTGAACTGAAAAGTGCCCCAACTCTTGTTGTTGTTAAATATCAGGCGTTCCCAGGGAGACTGAGAAGGAGAAGGAGCTGGCCGATTTTGACATTTTTGACGACACCGAGACACCGTACTCCACCTTCAACTTCCAATACTCCAACGACGCTTTCATCCAGCTTCATGACCTGATGGAGTTCAACACTCTCAACAACCTGGAGGTCAGTTTAGCGCTGCTGCAAAACTGGTGTAGCACAGTGTTACCTGTTGAGCCTATCACTGTGGATGTTTTCATAAGGCTTACAGGCATCGGTAGATTAAGTGATTCATGAACAGGTTTGTTATTGGCCAACTGCTGTTCCTTCATTTCCTCAGCTGTTCATTCTTAGTGTTGTCAGAGGGGAAATTTTGGATTGAGTCTACTCACATTTTGATTGTGCAACATTAGAAATTTCATTGCAGTCAAAACTGGATGGTACAGGCCTAAACTAATTCTCTAAAGGTGTGTCATTTATGTGACGTCAGGCTGACTTTCACTTGCTAACTTCTGAGTAACTATGTTGAGTAAGGGTTCAGCCTCTTTGATTTCACTGGGTGGTCAGGTGATGCAGACAGACTTACGCTGCCACTCAAGATATTTTCCGATGCTAGGCTCCAGCATTTTGAGCCCAGTAAGCCAGCAGCGCTAATATTTGGAAACGTACTGATAAAACCTCTGACATTCATGGTTAATATAAAACAAATCTGCCCACCGACACTGATTCATATGAAAGTGCAAGACAGAAATTTCCTGGACTTACTCATTTTTACATCGTTAAAGTGTCACCAGCTGAGCTCTGGGGATGTGTAGTGAGAACCTCATACAGGTTTACACAGTTGGGGGGATGAAATGATTAGTGAACATAATTCGGTAATAAACCTAAGCCTATGTAATCCACTAACTTTGGATCATTTATTAATTGACAAATATTAACTAATTACTAAATGATGATGTTTCCCAAATAATTGGGTTAAATACTAACTCTACACTTGTCAGGGGCGTATCCAGAAGGTGGGCATGGGGTGGCACCAGCCCCCCAAAATATGATTCCCCCACCGCTATAGAACTTTGCTGAATTTTAATGTACTTTTACATCTTTCAAGTATTTACGTGTCATGCTGCTTTTACTCTACTATATTTTGTACTCCTTACTGGCTCATCAGACATTACTCCCTCTGCTATTTGGGTTTTATTCTTTTTATGTGGCTCACATATCTTCATGTTGTACCTTCCATGTCACTTGGTTGCAGTGTGGCGCTGACGTTAAATGTTTTACGAGATCTTACTCGACCATTTAAATAATGACCCTTTAATTCAAAGTGCTGCTGTGTTGAAGAGCAGCTTTTTTTCTGAATGACTCAACGTGTATTAGATTTCAGGACAGTATGGTAGCCATACAAATATATGGAAATCTACCTTCCAGCATGATGTTATTCAAAATTCATCCAACATTATATTTATCTGAACTTTTTAACCTTTTTTAAATATCGCTCTTTGAATTTAATGTAGCAGCATTTGTTCCATATGAGATTACAATATGGACTTTGTCCCCCTCCCTGCAGGTTATTAAAGAAGCCATCAAGGACTGCATCGCGTCTCGTAAGGACAATCCCTCGAGCGTCTCTCGTCCTTTCAACCTCAGTGAGATCCCAAAAAAGAAGATTCTCAAACGAGATCATCAAGGAAAGCCTGTGAATCACCTTGGGAATAATAGCCAGTAGCTTCGGTCTAAGACTTCAGGGCTTTTGGGGGATTATGTTTTCACCTTAGAACGAAGCATTTTCTTTTTGGAAAATGCTCTCATGCTGATCTTTTCTTTGTGTAATGGAGATGCTTTTGATTTGCTCTGGGTTTGATATGATTTCTGATAAAGGGCTACTGCAAGGAAGCTGGATGTTACATGATATGATATTATTTCATTCATATACAGCTTTCACCTGGGCTTACGTGCACTATAGTGACTGCTGGCCACAAACAGCTGATAGGTGCTTTCCCTGCAGGCTGTGAGAGACAGACTAGAAAATGAACCAAACAGTGCAATGTGAGTGAATTGGTTCCATATCCACTGAGCAACCCAAACTACAATTTTGTTTATTGTGCCTGTTTTAAACTCACATGCTCATTCACTTCACTTCACTTACATTTTCTTGCAACATTCCCAAATGTCGGTGAGGAGACTGCATTTGGATCTCAGAGCCGTGTGTGGACGTTTCTAAACACTGAGCTGTGTGAACGGACACATTGCAGGAAGCCGTTCCTGCACTGCGTCTTTTTGTGAGCTGAGCTCTTTCCACACTGAACGTGTGACAACAGAGCATGCAAATCACCTCTTTTTTTTTATTACCGGATGGCTTGTCTAAACATGCAGGCTTGTTTGAAAACATGGATGGGGATATTATCGGTAACCATTGGTTTTGTTTGATGGCAACTTCTAAACACTCCAAGTGCACCCCCCTCTGGATACCTCAAACATCCCAGTGATGTTTACCCACCTACAGCGTAGGAGCACTCCCTGCTCCCCTCTAGGGAGTGGCTCATATTAAAGCCATTTTGGAAAAACAAAACTGGATGCCATGGAAACGGCCCTGCTCCTTCTCTCATCCGGTTCTGTGTCCTGACTCCATGGTTTCAGGGTGCTTTTTCTTTTTAAACACAGTGTTTGTCCCCCCGCCTCCCAACAAACCCAGCTTGCTGCCGGATCTTTTCAACAGTGAGGTGCAGCTTAGGTCAAAGTGAGGGCGCGATCACGAGACCTGCCCACAGCTGAAAGGTGTTCCCTAGTGGCAGCACCCAGTGGAATTTTACACACTACACCTTCACCTGCAGCAGTGGAGGCCTGAAATCAGACACACTACACCTACACCTGCAGGGGCCCAGAGGCTGCACGCGGAGCAGGGAATTTTACACCGGACACTTCCGGCCCTCACGCTCTTACGTTTCAGCCGAGGTTGTTGGAAAGAAACCGAGAAAACAAAACAGTCGTTTGCAGTTTTGCTGCAAGATGAAACCACGAAACTTTTGCAACATGCTTTTTTTTATTTTTAGCTGATTTCTATCAGGTGTTTTTTTTCCTGTTTGTTTGTGTAGTTGCATTTTTTAAATAGCTGTAAGCATTTCCTCATTTCTGTTGTTCTTTTAGAAAAAATGGTTTTGGATAGCAGCAGTTTTTTACTTTCTCTTGTTGAATCAGATGAGAAGATTGACAGCATTATATTTATGTACTGTAAAGGCTTATAAGTGAATAATTAGCAGTCAGGTACAACACAGCACAAAGACAGAAAATGGGCTAAAAAGTTACTTAACTGTTGAGCTTTTAGTAATTGCTGGATGGCTTTTCTTGCCTCAGCACAGAGTCCATTGACCTGGCAGTGCGTCACATCAAGGCTAAATCTGGTTCTGGTGATCCCTACTGTAGGAGAAACTATTGCAAAGTGTGTGTCTGTCTGTGGACACTTTGTCATTGTGTTACCTTCACAGCTATGATTTAGTCCCAACACTTGAATGAAAATGAAGGCCAACTTCTAAAAGTGGGTTTGGTCTAACTCATTTACATCATGTCATTTATTCAGTAGTCCAGAAATAACTACTGAACTGCTGAGCCAGGGGACTGTGGATACTACCACCATCATTGTTGTGTCTCTACGAACTCCTGGGAGACATTTCTGGCTGCTAAATGTTCTCTGCGTGTGTTAAAAAGCCTGTTCCTCTTGGCGCTTATCACTCTGCTGTTCCTGTTTTTAATGGGTGCTTATCTCTTGTTATTGTTGCTAAAAAGAGCTACTTGGTAAGAGCAGAGATGATTGCAAAGTGAGCTGTGAGAGTGAGCCACAAGATAAGAGTTGTTTGTTCGAAAGCCTTACATAAAACTTGTTTAGAGGTTTGGGGTTTTTTTGCAGATTAATGTCAAATTAATTTAAGCGAAGCTAACCTGCTGCTGGCTATAACCATAGGGTGAATGCGGTGTCATTGTATCAGGGCTACTTTTAAGAAAGTGAGTGATTGTGTTTCCCCATAAATGTTAAAATAGCATCGACTATCTTATGAAGACATTCTGTCGAGTTCTGCCATTAACCTTTTCATATTTTACATATTGTTTTACTTTAACTTTGATTATTTCTACTATATATTCGGCCACCTATGACCATGTTTACATGTTACAAGATCCTAAATGGTCAGCTGTAGTGTATAAAACATTTCTGTGATTAATAACTAATAACTGTATTATGACTGGCAAAACATAACATACATAATGTTTATGTGCATTGTTAAATGAGATTAATAAAAGAGAATTTATCTCATGTGTAATCTTTTCTGTTTAAATAGTTGAGACTCTTTCCTCATCCCCCTCCTGAGAAAACACAGCAGCTGAGGTCAAAGTTCAAGGTTCGGGTTCAACCATGACCTGCTTTAGTTTGGCTTGTATTTAAAAAGAACTGCGTCAGAGTATTAATGTGTGTGGATGTCGGAGTGTGTAAAAGTCTTGAGTCACCTCTCATTTCTTTATTTGTTGCCAGGAAAATTGAAAATGGGTTCAGCAGTTTATTAAATTGAAATACAGTATTTGATATGACCGCCTTATTCTTCAACACAGACGGAATTCTCTGAGGTAGATGACTTGTCATTTCTTTGAGTAGTCTTCAGGAATATTTGAAGGATGTTCAGAGCTCTTCTTTGGATGTTGGCTGTCTTTTTTCCTCTGTCAACATGATCCCACACAGCTTCATTAACTTCGGCTTCGGATACAACGTGTTCTCACCCCCAAAGCATCGATATATTACGCTTCTGGGCACCCAACACGTCACTAGATTACGAGATTGAAAAAATGAGGAAACATGACAACCGTTTGAAATGAATCTATACATGTACATTCATTTTCCTTAAATCGCTTGGAAAACACTATGTAACGTCATTAAAGTGCTGGTTGAGGTTAGGGTTAGGGCTGGAATACATGGCTGGAATCTGTGTTACCGCGGGAGCATCATTCTACTGGATTTTATCCATAACCCGGCGCGTAGCATAAGAATGGGGACGGTCACCTTTTGTGTTCCTCAGGAACGCCTCAGGACTTGACAAATCGTCATTATATTACGCCTCGGGAATGAGAACGGGCTGCGCTCCTCTGAAAGTGGTCATATACAAAGAGTGTAATGAAAATGTGTAGCTATTATACCACCATATTGATTTCAAGGAATTTACAAAATTTTGCCTTCGGGTATGTAAATACCTGAAAAATCAGCTTGTATTGACTGGCATCAAATCCTAACGAAACAGACCATTTTCAGCAGTATGGAGCATTTTAACTGTGACATGTTAAACAAACCAAAAGGAATGCATTTGTATTATTTTCCATATAAAGAAGTAACTGGAGGGTGTGCTTCAACTATTGGGCGATTGTACCATGCCAGTTCATTGTCCATCCACTAGCCAGACTTTGGATGTAGGACCAACATTGTGGATTTTGTCCTGGTCGTGGAACAGTGGACCTGCTCTTTGTCCTCTAAAGGATATTTGATAGTGTGTGTGGGGTCGCCCATCCAGTCGGTTCTTCAACCTCATGATCGATGCAATTATGCGCAGGACCTTCAACGGCCGCCGCCGTGGAATCGAGTTCGCCGATGACCAATCTTCAACTGACTTGATGTTCACGCATTACAAGGTTACAGACATCCTATGCGACGTTGTCCAATATGCTCAACCATATGGCCTCAAGATCAGTGCTGAGAAGACAGAAGTCCTTACTACTGGTGGATCACCAACCACCGTGTATCTTGAAGGCATGTAAATCTAACAATTCAAATACCTTGGCTCTCTGGTGCAGTGGATTCAACAGCTGTCAATCGGTGTCAGCATTCGCCTACCTCCATTGGTGCATCTGGAAGAAGACAAACGTCACCCTCATCATCAAAATCCGCCTGTCCCACACACTAGTATTGCCCATTCTTCTCTATGGATCTTTGACCCGGGTCATCCTCAAACATGACCTCAACAAGCTCGAGGTCTTCCAAATGCACTGTTTGCATCAGATTTTCCCAGTGTCCCTTCGTGACCATCTTGGCAACAGCGCGAAACGTGGTCAGTGTAATCAGCAGGCCTCGATGGAAGAGCTTATCCAGAAGCGACGACTGCAATGGTTTGGCTGAGTGTAAAAGTGAAGCTGTTGATTTATCGTCAATCTGCATTCCTATCTTCACCTGTGGTCAAGAGCTCTGATTAGTGAGTTTCCTGCAAAAGAGTGACTGGGCTGTCCATTAGAGATTGGGAGAGCTTGGTCATTAGAGACGGATTCCTAGTAGAACCGCTGCAATTGGCATGAGCAGTTACTGATGTCAAATGCTGATTGGGATGCATCCTGAGAGGTTACATGTCTCAGCTGGCTTGGGAACAACTTGGTTTCTCCTTCAGACAAGCTGCAAGAGGTTTTTGGGGTGAGGGAAGTCTGGTCTCCTCTGCTCAGACTGCTGCCCCACAACCCGAACTCACATAAGTGACAGAAAACAAATGGATGGATAAAGATCAGTTAGTGCTCACACACCCTTTGAAAAACTGGAGCCAGCGTTCTAACTTCTGAGAACAGATAATACAATCTGTGTTATTTCTACAAGCCCAAATCAGATAGCATTGTCTTGATTTGGGCTTGGAGATTACACATCTGAAGTACAAAAAAGGCTCGTGAATTTTAAAAACTGCAGATGCTTACGTAGTCTCTTACATCACAGAAAACAATGTCCCTCTTTTTAAATCAGTTTTTTGTAATAATTTATCTGTAAGAACCATTTTTGACTCATTGGTAAGTACTGTAGTTTATAAAATGCAATGACATCTCTACATCTCTGCTTTGTTAATAGTTACCTGACAGCATGTGAGATTAATCATTTTCGGTGGAGGTAAATAGACCAGTGGCCAGTCCCAGACTTCCTTGATTGCTCACGACTTCCTTTTACTAAAGAAATCGTCTATGTGAAAGAATTACCTAATGCAATGGGAATATTTGGTTCCAGGAAGAGGGGAATACACACCGATGCAGCGATTTCCTTTAAATCTCAGTTTTTCAGTCAGAGAGGACTGTTTTGATTTGAAAATGTGATTTGAGGACCCGTACCAAATATCGAATGATGTTAACCAATAAATGTCAAAGTAGTGATGTTACAAAACGTGACAAAACGATTCCCTTTGACCTGCATGATAAAGAAAACCACACAGAGCCTCTAAAACTTGGAGACCTGCTCCAACAAAGCCCCCGCTAAATTATTACATTCCCCAATTAAATCATCATCCAAAAGCAATATTCCCCTTGTGTGAGAGTACTAATTAAGTGCTTAGGATAGTTTGCTATTCTGTTAGTCCTTTCCTCTGGCACGGAAGCACCTGGCCAGATTCCCAACAGATTTGCCCAGAGTCTAAAAGCTCTGTATCGGCATCTTTTCAGAGAACGTTTCAAGTTTCACCTCTTCCTTAGAGCCAGCACAGCACAAAAGGGACTCCATGTGGAACTTTTTCACAGGTTTGTTAATTGGCAGATGAACAGAAATGCCCTCTGTGAGGCTGTATCCTCACCCTCGCCTCTGTCAGTGCGCCCCAGGGCGGCTGTGGCTGCAATGTAGCTGCCATCACCAGTGTGTGAATGTGTGGATGGCTGCATGTAGTGTAAAGCGCTATACAAGTACAGGCCATTTACCCTCTGTGTGCTGAGTCATTCACATAGCAACATAGCATGGACAGGTTGGGGCACTGCAGAAAGCCTGCAATGAGGCCACTTGTGACCAATGCACGCCAGATTGTGTGTATGTGTGCAGCAATAAGAGGGAGTGGGAGAATCACAGGGAAAGAGAAGGTAAAGAAAACGTCTCTGTATGTTTTTCATGGACGAATGTGTGAGTGAGGAGCCTCTCAGAGGCAGGGTTCAATGTTTTGCAATTGTTTGACCTTTTCCTTTTTTTGGTGCAGTCATCGCTTTTTTTTAATACTCCCACTGTGTAGGTTGGCATGTAAGGAAAAAGGCAGTGATATACTTTATCTTTTTTTCTTTTGTTTTTACTCTTGGGGCAGTCTAGACAGGCCAGATAAGGAAATAAAAAGATCCCACTTCTAAAGGGAAAAAAGGCATTGATGAAACATAGGTGTGTCCTAGTTACTTGCTTTCCCAGAAAAGATCTGCGTGTTATGAACTACGTTCTTTTGGTTCGCAGTGAAGATGCCTGCCCATTATCCCTGGAAACATCACGGGACGATAAGCCAAAATTTAATATGAGCTCATGTGGTTTTCAAAAGGCAACAAAGCCACACTCCCCCACCCCCAAGGCGTCATGCAGTTTGAAAACTAGATACTTCAGTTTGGGTTTATTTCTAACTGTTTCTGTGATGCAAACAGAGACGAGTGTGGGGATTAGTAACATGGGAAATTTGGTCTTACTTCCTATACTGAAAAAATGCACATTCATATGACGTATGAAAGCCCCCATGGATCGCAGGCCTGGTTACAAATCCATTCAGACTCCATTCTTCTGACTCATCGCACACAGTACTGGGCTCACCAGACTCCCACATTTCCGCGTTGTAGCAGAATATTCAGAATAAACCTGTGCAATCATAAAGGTGAATGACACAGGTATCTGAATTCTGCAGCAATCCAGAATTTTCATGTATGGATTCACTGATTCAAATGTATCACATTAGCATAAAGATGTAACATCGTGTTTTTAAGGTTTTTAGTTCATTTATGCATATCTTCAAACATTACATTCACGCTTGATGCTACTGTTAATGCTCTTTTTCTTAAATGGAACATACAAATAGCAATACTGTGATTATGATTACCTGCAGCTGAAGCCCATTTGCTTAAAGGTTTGATATGTTGTGTATCCAGACAAACTTTATTTGCCTTCCTGTCAACTCACTTAAATGACCATTCTGACGCTCAGTTCAAACTTCAGGTACATGCCAGCTGTCTTCATACCCAAATGCCCTGAGTTGCTGCCATGTGACTGACTGATTAGATATTTGTGATAACCATTGAACAGGTGTACCTAAAAAGCGGCCTTTTAGGTACACCTGTTTTTGTTCACTTTGTTTTGCTTACATGCTACTTTTTTGAACGTTCAACTTCTTTCTTTCTTTCTTCATCATCATTTTTTTTCAGATATGAGATAAGATTAAAAAAGAGAGAGAATAATAAAAATAAACAAAATAAAATCAGGGCTGTAAACACTGGTAAACTGTGGAGAAGTTTATAGGGGAGACTGGGGACAGCTGCAACGAGGGACGGTTACAACTGTCCCCGGGGTTGTGAACTACAATTCTTTTATTCAAAAAAAGAGAGCACCTGATATCAGATGTATTTATCTTTGGCTGTCAGACAAATGTGTGTGTTTCATCTATCAAAATGAGTTTGGTTTAGTCCAAACTGTCTGGGAATAACCTACAAGTCCAAACGTAGAATTTTAATGATGATAGTGATGACTTTGCAGCTTACTGACTTAGAAATTATTCACAAAGCAGGAGCTCCAGCAACACTTGAGGGAAGATGAACAACTTTAATAATAGACCAACGCGTTTCGGCTTGTGGCCTTCATCAGGGTCATAGTAAAACATTTTAAAATTGCTTAAATACAAGACAGGAAACAGAAAA